TTATTATTATTATTATGATATCACTGTGCCGATCAAGTGTAGGTGGTGCTATGAGAGCGAGAGGAAGAGGCGCTCCCACGAGGAGCGATATCAGACAGAACACGGTCATGTATGTACATAAATATAAATATGTCTGCTATACAGTTTACGGAGCTAATGTTAACAGAACAGCCTTAGATTTTAATTTTCTTCTTCATGTGATGTCTGAACGGTAAGCTGTTTGTTTTGTTTTGTTTTGTTTTCTTTGTGTTTTGATACCTTGTACCAAGCACAGTATTATTGAAACTAGGGGAACTAATTTTTCTTTCTACTGGTTCTTCCGCCTCCGTTTGGCTGTTTTAACGCTCACACAGGTTGAATCTGACAGGCCAGACTGCTCACAGCACATCTGAGGATGTGGCTAGAAAGGATCTTGGCTGCTCCTTTTAATTTTGGAACATTTTTGTGACCCTGCAGTCAGGCTGCATGCAAAAAAAACGCGACTGAGCCGATGCATGCCGCCACATCTGAAAATAGGAATGTCTGTAAAAGCAGGAAAGAAATGAATCAAGTTTATGCAAAGATGGCTCACTGTGGATCCCAGGTCACTTTACTTCCAGCTTAAAACGAGGCTCCTGCGTTTCATTTTTTTAATCTGAAAAGAGGGAAGAAGAAGAGACAGAGAAGTTTGTGTTCAGACTGAACTGTTTGTATATTCAACATTTGAAGTATATTCTATTTTGTTGTACTCTTGTTTCAAAGTGTATTAAAGTAGATTTTACTGAAATATAAAGACATTTGAAACCTGACGGCTGTCCCTGCATCACTTATTTATTTTTTGTTCATTTATGTTGGAGCTGGGAGATTTATGAAACAAGATGATCAGGATAAAATGGGTAACGCTGTTCTTTTACAGAGCAGTTTTCCCTCCCGTCTACTCAGTTTAGCTCAGCTCAAGCTAAGGATGGCAGAGAGACTTTGTACAGAGAGTCAAACGGTTCACAGAGGCTGCTGTCTGTTGTTTTCTTTTCCCGTTTAATCAAGAAGTGAGGCACTCAAATGTCTCAGGCAGGCGGCGTTAATCTTGTTTTTCAGTAGTGTGAGAAACCGGAGCTCCCCGAGAAAAGCCAAACACCACAGAGGGAGAATTGGCCCCCTGGCTCTGGATGGCCTCAGCTTGTCCTCCAGTAGCACTTTGAGAAATCTTTGAGTCACCGTCACCAGGATACGTTCTTCAACGCATATGTAGCACTTTCTGCTTTCTTGCTTTTGCGCAATATCTCTAATTAGAAGCTGTCTCAGAGTGATGCTGCAAAACTAGTTCATGCATTGATTTATGAATGTTGCTCCGTGACTGCTGGTTTACTTGTGGTTCACAGGGTATTTACAAGTAGAATGGGAGGCAGAGCCGTCAGCTTTCAGGTGTGTCTTCTGTGGAAGCAGCTTCCAGTTTGGAATCGGGAGACCTTTTTGTCAAAGCTTAATTAGGGATGGATCAGGTGACCCTGAATGTTCCCTGGTTGCGCTGTGATAGCTCTAGGGTTTTGGGGGCTTCCCATGATGCGCTGAGTGCATCATTAGTTATTGTTAATCTCTGGCTCTCTTCCACAGCGCGTCTTTGTCCCTTCCCTTCACCCTCAACTGGTTGTGGCCGACCGGTTCCTAGTAAAAGGGAGTTTTTCCTTCCCAGTTTCGTAAAGTGCTTGGTCATAGAGGGTCATCTGATTGTTGGGGTTTCTGTATACCTTACAAAATAAAGAGGCTCGAGGCGACTGTCGGTTTCTGCTGAGCTGCGGTGCAGGTAGATGTTAAAGTTAAGCAATAAACTACATTTTTAATATCCCGAGCTAATTTATGTTTATCAGCACAAAGCTGAACACAAGAAGCAGAAGTTATGTTTTACCATTCGATATGAAAAGGGTCATGTGAGTCTCCTAATATTATTTCACACATGAAAGTGAAAAAGGGTTTGAAGAGTTAAAGAAATTTCTCAAATTCTGAGAATCTGAGCCACCTGTAAAAAAGCTGTTTTAGACTATAATCTCGAGCTTTTTTTACATTATCAAACTTTTTTCCCAAACATTTCTCCAGGTGTTTGGATCTGGACAAACGGTCACGTCACAAATACAGCAGTTACTTCATACAGTGCTAATATTTACTCATGAGAAGCACGCACAGTGCAGCCTTTCTGCATTCAGTTTGAGTTTACTGAACTTTATCGTCGAAGGCGATAAAGACAAGAATCTGGGTGAAATTCAGTTGTGCAAAACGTCTTTGTTTTGACAAATCCGGATTCCATTCAGCGCCATTGTTTTTTTTTTTAGGTGATCTCAAAATTATCTCGAAACCTGAACATGGAAATAAAAAAGCAAACACTCGTACACCTGGATAAGAAGAGGAAACAGGCCTTTTATTTTTGGAATCAACTCTTTATTGTCATATCACAAGTAAACAACTGAAATCGCATCTAGTTTTAGTTAATTATAAGAAAAAACAACTTTCTCACACAGTTGCAATCATCACACAGGTGGGGTCAGTAGGAATTTGGCCTTAATGTGAAGAAAGGGCTCCATTTCTATTTATTTTACAAATGACTGATCGGATTTTCAGTTATTTGGTGTTACCTGCCAAGTCTGCACAGGAGGTACCGGAAGACAATAAAGACAAAAACATTCCTGACATGCCAAATGTTTAACCTTGCAAACTACAGCTGACTCATCACTGCAGGCAAAGCAGATCAAAAGAGGCATGAGAGAGGGTGCG